AAAAGTACTCTGAACATTTAAATAAAAAAGCAGTACACAAAACATGTATGACGCAAACATTTTCAATCAATATTTAACATCAAATGTGTAAGTGTTGAGTGTTTTATAAATAGACTGCCAATTAAGTCTAGGATACTGTGATAAACACCACAGCAAATTCACAAATATGAATGGATGTTTGAAACATTTTAATACTGTTCTATAAAGGTAAAATGATGCCAAAAAGATTTGCATGCACGAGGTAAGATTTGTAAAAGTGTACACAAGGTTGCAAGCCTAAATTAATTTTGCAAACGCAAGAGAAGATTTGTAGAGATGGAAATTGTGTTTCAGAAAAAGGAAAAAGATTTGCAGCATTTGACTGTTTTTCATAAGTGTAACGTTAATTCATGTATTATGAAACTGCAGCTTCATGCTAATGCAAATGAATTACACTTGCAAAAGTTTTTTTTCCTCACACTTGAACACGATTTCCACCTTTATGAATCCAGCCTCTATCTATCTATCTATCTATCTGACAGACTGTATTGCCTTCAAAATGTCAAACTTTAAGCTTTAAAACTACTTTAAACGTCAAACTATTTCAGACCGTCAAACTTTTTCAAACTTTCTGGTCAGGCTTTCTCAAGCCAACTTAAAAGTTTGTCTTGACAAACTTTTTGATCTAGTTATGTTTAAAATCACTATCCAAGATTACGCCCACATTTTTAAAGGAGGATTTAAAGTAAGGAAGTAAAGAATCCAATCCCGTGTTAGGGGCCACATGGGTACCATTCAAGCCAAACACCAGAATTTTTGTTTTATTGTCATTGAGGCAGTCCAACAATAATTTCAAACAGCTGATATATTTTCATTTCAATTGCAGATAAAGTTGTGTGTCGTCTGCATAGCAATGAAACAAAATGCCATACTTCCTTAGAATAGACTCTAGTGGAAACACATAAAGGGAAAACAACATTGTGCCAAAAATAGATCCCTGAGGGACTCCACAAGGAAGGTGAGCTGACGGTGGACAGAAAACTTTCTATTAGACAGATAAGACTTAAACCACTCTAAAGCCGAGAGATCAGAATGTTATAATTTATGGTATCAAATGCAGCTGTGAGGTTTAAAAAGCATAAGTATGGCAGAATCTCCAGAGTCTGTGATCAATAAGAGATCATTAAAAACTTTTAAAAGTGCAGTTTCCATACTGTGAAAGCCTTTAAATCAAGAAATACCTCTAAAATGGCATGTGAATCTATGCCAGTACTATAATGCAAGTACTGTTTGTATTTTTATATGTTTGACCAGTTAATTAAGTTAATTATTTTGCCTCATCTCAACCACTACAGCCATGTGGGACCCAACTGAGCGACCCCCTTTCAATCTTGTCAACATCTTCCATGGAGCCCCACGTGGGTTAGTCAAAATGGCTTAATAAAATGAATATTACTGTTTATATAATCTGCAGTACATAGTGTTAAAATTAACACTGAAATCAATGTCAAATAAAAGTCATTAAATCTACCAAGATCTCAACAGAGGATGATTAATTCAAATAAATTCAAACACAGCACTATCAACTTAACTTATTAAACAAGTTTATTTCTTTCATATGGCTACAAAAGTTCTTGAAAAATTAACATGAACACATCATGACAGTCCTGATTTTAATTGCAGGAGCAGAGATACTTCAGTCTTTCAGCCGTCTAGTTCCTGTTGCAGCATCAAAATGCATCTTACACTGAGAACGAGTTGCTTTGGCATTTTGGTAGTTGGCTGGACCTTACTGATGAAAGAATATTAACATGATTAACATGTTGCTTACCATTTAAAATGCCATTATGAAATCAAATGTACCTACATCAACAGAGATGGCATGGGCTCAAGACAAACTGTCAAGAAAAAAGAAAGCGCTCAGGTAAAAACACAACTCGGCTGCTTGTTTCAACTCATTTGTTAATGCAATTGGGTTTACACTGTTACGCCGTACCCCTCTTTAAATTGCACTATAATTTTGAATTCCCTTCATTCCTCCCCTTAATATTTACTAACTCCTTTTTACTACCACCAGCACTGCTTACTAATGTTTCTTCATTATATATATATTTTTGTTTCTTTCTTTTTTTGTGCTTGTTCCTAGACTTGAAAATAAAATTAGCCCATAAATTACTCACCCTCAAGTCATCCTAGGTGTATATGACTTTCTTCTTTCAGACGAATCCAGTCGGAGTTATATTAAAAACTTTAATCTTTCAAGCTGTTTAATGGCACTCAGCGGGTGTTGCATGCATCAGTTCAAAAGAAGTAAAATAAAAAGTGCCCATCCATAATAAAAAGTGTCTCACACGGCTCCAGGGGGTGAACAAAGGCCTTCTGAAGCGAATCGATGCGTTTTTGTAAAAAAAATATCCATATTCAAAACGTAATAATCACTTTAATGTAGCTTGCGCTCACTGTTGTACACGGACGCAGTTCCGGGCGGATGACGTATGAGTTCAGCTTTGTGCATGCGCCGCTCAGAAGTGACGAACGCGGAAGCGCAGCGGAGAGATAAAAACAAAACAATGGTCACTTATTAGAAGTACAAAAGGACTTGTAACTTGTAATGAGGATTTGTAAAGAAGAATGTCGGAGGATTTCGATATAAGCCAAGAGGAGACTGGTTTTCCT